ACACACACACACACACACACACACACACACACACACACACACACACACAGTTCCCATGAGTCTTTGCTGCCTCCAGTCTTCACACTAATAAAAACACTGACGAAGGCCTCGGTGGAACCGACCCGATCAGTCCGGGCGGGTCGGTCTGAGTGGCCACAGCCGTGTGGGGGGAGGGGCAGCATGCAGCGAGGAGGGGGCRGCGGCTGCAGCCAGTCTGTGTGTGTGTTTATCTGTCCACACACACACACGCTGAGGAAGAGGAGGAGGAAGGTTAGCTGTGATTTGGCACCTCCACAGACACGTGACTCCCCTCAGCCTATAAGAAGGCCCCGCCGGGCATGCCCAGGTAGTTGGGAGCCGACAGGTGTGGCGGGCGAGGCGCGGTGCTGCTCCAGTGCACCTTCATGTGGTGCCGCAGGTTGGACTTGGAGGAGAAGCGCTTGTCGCAGTGCTGACAGGAGAAGGGTTTCTCCTTGGTGTGGATCCTCCGGTGGCAGATCAGCTGAGTGGAAACCCGGAAGGACTTGCCACAGTCGGGGCACTGGTAGCGTTTGGGCTCGGTGTGAATGCGCCGGTGGTTCTTCAGGGACATGAGGTTGGGGAACTCCTTCTGGCAGGAGGAGCAGAAGAAGGTCCCGGTCTTGTGGCTGTTCTTGTGGTTGAGGAGGGAGCTGGCGTGGCGGTAGGACCGCCCACACTGGCTGCAGACGTGGGGTTTGGCGGCGGCGGCGCTCCCCTCTCGGCCGCGAGCTTTGGCCAGGCTGCGAGGGTCGAGTCCTTGCTCCTGCATGAGGGTGAGGTCCAGGCCCGACCCCCAGCCCAGGTCCTGGGAGCCCCCTGCTCGGGGCTGCTGGGGTCTGGGCTGGCGGGGTTGGGGCGCCTGGCCGTGGGTGATCTCCATGTGGAGCCTGAAGCTGGCCTGCGTGGGGAACGCCCTCTGGCAGGAGCGGCAGGTCAGCTCCCGTTGCTTCTGGTGGACGCGCCGGTGGTTGTAGAGCTGGGAGGAGACCCGGAAGGCCTTCCCGCAGTCGTGGCAGCGGTGGCGGCGCGTCTCCGAGTGGATGCGGCGGTGGTTCTTCAGGGCGAGCAGGTTGTTGTAGGTCTTGAGGCACACGGCGCAGTGGTAGATACCGACGGTGTGGGTGTTCTTGTGGTTGAGCAGGGAGCTGGCGTGGCGGTAGGAGCGGCCGCACTGATCACACCTGTGCAGAGACAAACGGGGGGGGGGATTAGTGACAGGAGGAGGACAGGTGACCTCACAGTTATCTGATAAACTATGGAATAAATCTTGTGCCAGCAGGAACTGAATTGGAATTGCTCAGATTGAATTTGAATGCATGTAATTTGAAATTGAATTCATTGGTTTGAAAATAAATTTCACTAGATTGAAACTGAATTAGTTTTGAAACTGTATTTTGGTTTAAAATCAGTTTGACTACTTTCACTTTCAGTTCCATAATTCAGATGTTTGTGTCACATCCTGGTCCTTGAGAAAGCCAGGCAGAGTAATCAAACACAGATCCACAGATTTATGTTTCACTTTGGTGAAGTTTCCCTTCTGGATGTAACAGAGTTGATGCAATCCGTGTCGCTAGGTTTTGAGGACAAGGGGGGCTTAGCCCCTAGGAGACGCACAGAATTTTTGTATTTTAAATTTGTATTGTGTGTCTGTGTCTGTATACAGGATATATATG